AGTCTATTTGTCCAATAATGAGATAAGTGGTTCAATTCCTAGCTTCTTCTTTGATCTTGTGCGTCTTACTAGTGTCGACCTCTCTTCAAATAACTTAACTGGTTCAATTCCTAGCTCCTTCTTTGATCTTGTGCGTCTTACTAGTGTCGACCTTTCTTCCAACAACTTAACTGGCACCATTACACCCGACATGCTTTCAAAGCTTGTAAACCTTGAGGATCTTGATCTTTCCAATAATGGTTTGCTGTCTTTGAGCAATAATGGCACTGCTGTCAACTATTCCTTTCTTCCGAGCCTCCAGTCTTTAACATTCTCTTCTTGCAACATACACAAGTTCCCAAGTTTCTTAAGGAAGGCAGAGAAATTGCGAGAATTGGATATTTCCAAGAACAAGATTTCTGGTCAAATTCACAAATGGGAAACAGAAGGGATGTCATCATTGCACTATTTAAATCTTTCTTATAACTTCTTGACTGGTATAGATTTATTCGGTTTTAGAAATCTTAGCACTGTTGACCTCAGATCCAACTTACTACAAGGATCACTACCCATTCTATCAACAACTTGGGATTCTATGCAACAACTCTTCATTTCAGGGAATAATTTGACTGGCAAAATCCCTTCTTCTTATTGCAATTTGACTTCTCTTGAAGTTCTAGATTTAGCTAATAATAGTTTGGAAGGAAAAATTCTAGAATGTCTTGGAAACTTGAGTTATCTCCTGTTCTTGGATCTGCGGATGAATAAGTTCCATGGTAGGATTCCAAATTCATTTTTCATTCCAAATTACATCAGTTCCTTGTTAACTCTCAGCCTAAATGGCAACCAGTTGGAAGGGATACTGCCACGGTCTTTGGTTAATTGCCGTTACTTGGAAATTCTAGATGTTGGGAACAACAACTTGAATGATATCTTTCCACATTGGTTAGGTGTTCTTCCATCACTACAAGTTCTCATCCTTCGATCTAATCGATTTCATGGTGCCATCAACGATTCTATGCCTGCATCTCACTTCCCTCAGTTGAGAATCGTTGATGTTGCACAGAACAATTTTATGGGTCTTCTACCGAGTAACTATTTCAAAATTTTGAAAGGTATGAGAGATGTAGCTCCAGTTGATAAAGTCGAATGGGAATACATTGATAACTATACGGCATGTTTAAGAGACGGACATTGCCATAATATTTATAAGGAGTCTGTGAAGGTAGTAATGAAAGGGTCAGAGAGGGAGCTTGTAAGGATCTTGAGAACTTTCACAACTATAGATTTCTCGAGCAATCAATTTCATGGACCGATTCCTGACAAGCTGGGAGAACTCAATGCACTTTTATTGCTAAACTTATCTCACAATAGACTCAATGGTCAAATCCCATCATCATTGGGGAAATTAGCAGAACTTGAGTCATTAGATCTCTCATCAAACAAGCTTGAAGGTAGGATTCCAGAGCAATTGACAAAGCTGACGTTCCTATCAGTTTTGAATCTTTCACATAATGAACTTGTGGGCCACATACCTGAAGGGAAGCAGTTCAGTACTTTCTCAAATGATTCCTACATTGGGAACTCTGGGTTGTGTGGATTCCCATTGACAAAGAAATGCGGAGAACCAAGTCTACCTTCATCGCAATTTGATGAAGAAGATGACTCTACAGCAGTCTTTGAGTGGAAGTTTGCATTGGCAGGGTATGGATGTGGATTGGTGTTGGGACTTAGTCTGGGATACATTGCCTTCACTACAGGAAAACCATGGTGGGTAGTGAAGAAAGTGGAGAAATATCAACAGAAATTAGTTGGAAGGTGCAACCAAAATCATAAGCAGAGAAAAACCCAAAAACCCAACCAACGCTCTTAAGTGAGTAACTTTCTACAACTCTCTATAATATTTGTTTTTCTATATGAGTTCTAACCATAAAAATCAAGGCATGTTATATAATAGTGACACTTAATTTTTCTACTTTTACTTTATTTTATATAGGTGCAAGCAGGTGCGGAAGATCTGGCAACAGTTGCTTCTTGAGCTTGTTTCCATCTTTTTCATATATAGTTGTATTGACTTGTGTGGGAATTATGGTTATGTATGAATTTGTGTTGATTTCTTTTGGATTTGGTGTATCTGCTCCGTACGCGGTTCTCTTGTATTTTGTTACTGTAATCTTTTTTTGGTTTCGTTTTACTGAATAAAAATGAAAATTTCTTAAAATGTGGTGTGAACCCCAATCGTCTCCTTTCGCCATAGTTTTCGATCAATTGAAATTTCGAATCAGTCTGGAAGCGGATTAGGAGTGCCAGCCGATCGACGGCCGAGACGGCCTCTGCTCTCTGGAGGCCCATTCTCTAGCCATCGCCAACTCTAGATAGGTAAATTTCTTTTTGTGTTTTACATTCTGTTTTCTTGAGATAGTAACCTCTTGTATTAACGGAGGAAGCTGTGGTAATTTTCTGTGTGGAATAAATTAATGATTTTAAATGTGCATGAATGGTTTGGTGGGATTTTATTGTTCGTCCTGTAGATGTAGAAATCAAGAGATTGTTTTGAAGACGAGGGCATTAATTAAACAATAAACAAGAAATTAAGAGTAAATTTCTGTTGGGATTTTGTTAAAAAATATCAAGAAATTAGCTTTAGCATTAACATATGTAAGTTCTGAGTTGAATATATTGAAGGAAGGTAATAGTGGATCATAAATTTCTCATTTGTGAACTTTTATTTAAATTCTGTTTGCTTGTACTGTATGGATGGTCAATCATACCAGGTAGACATCAGTCAGTTTCATCTGTTTTTTTTCCTTAGATAAATTAGAGTTGAAGTTGTTATTCTAGTGGTAAACTCATCAATGGATAATTTTGCTTACAGATATATATAAGGAGTATCCTGCGAGCATCCTAAAATTAAGAGTCTGTTAAACAGATATATGACCCAAGACACATCTTCAGACGAGGCTTCTGTTGTTATGGCTGGTGTAAGTGCTCGTTTTATTTGCTTCTAGAGCCTAAGAGTTGTTGTAGAAACATGACAAATATCTTTGCATACTGTTATTATTATAGTGTGATCGTCATGGATCATTTCTTGTTTCTGGATAAAAGCTAAGATAAAGAAAGTCACATCAATCAAATAGTCCATCTCTCTGGCTCTGGTGTTGTAGAGTATACTTCAGATTTCAGTGATGGTTATAAGTAACAAATTCTCAGTTTTGGGACCAGACACCCAAGAGGAAAGGCTCAGAGGACCTGGAATATTCTTATTGGAGATTGCCATATCAGTTATGGATGTTAAAATGCATGGTTTGTTTGTTGATGCTGCTATCATTGGCATAATGACTCCTCCATTAGCAGAGCTCCAGGTGATTCCTTATATAATTACCCTGCCACTTGCAAATGGATTCTATAGAAGTTCTTCAAATGGTCTAAAAGGTTTTGAGTAATTGTTGGGTACATGATTTCCAAAATAGTTTAAGCATAGAAACTATATGTATTCTTACAGTCAGTACATCCAAAGTTTATCTGTTGGTTTATTCTTTGTTGGCTGGCCTGATCCGACCTGACTTCAAGATCCGACACCAGATTTTAATACACAGGTAAAAGTGAAAAGATTATTATTATTATTTTTTTTAATTTTCTTGAGATGTTGTTAACCTAGGAGTGTTTAAAATATTGATGATTTTTGCTTAACTACTCAACTAGATATTTCTGCTTACAGATACAATGGTATATCCTGCAGGCATCCTAAACTTCTGTTGAACAAAGAGAGGCATCTTAAAATGTAAATGTCTTTACATTTTGTCATTATTTTAGTATTATCTTCATGAAATCTTCATGAATCATTTCTTTTTTCTGAGATCAGCTGCTAAGATAAACAAAGTCTAAAGAACATAGTCGAAGCATTTAAAAGAATTGTTTCTGTGGTTCATTTTTAGTTTTGCTGCTTGTTCTTTTTCCATTGAATAATAGAAACTTTGTGAAGTTATTCTGGTATTTGAATTCAGCTGCTTTCATTGTTGGACAGTCAAGTCTAACTTACTGCTGTGCAGTCAATACAGGAGATGTTGTTGTGATCTTAGCTTTTCATTGTGTTTTGCAATAATATAATTTGCAGCTTATTGCATTATAAACCACAGCACAAATTGATGCTTTTGTAGGTGTGAGTATTATCTTTGTCTTTATTTTGTTATCTTCTTGACTAAATTTATGTCATCTTGTTAGACTTTCAGTAGGTAGAAGCAAGTCCTTAGTGGGGGCCTTTTTGTCAAGAGTTATAACGCAGCCTGCAGTGTTTTCAAC